CTTCAGCAACACTTATTTATTTATAATAACGTGATTTGTTACTTTTTTTAAGATTTATTTATGTATACAAAACTGGGGTACAGGCCAGAGGTACAGGGGCTGTGAAGGGATTCCAGAGACAGAGCGGGGAGCAGAACAGGCATACTGACACTGTACACTGCTGAGGGGAGCAGCAGGCGAGACAGGAGAGGACTGCTGCACTATGTGGATCACCTCAGGGCTGGAGATCAAAGTCTCACTGAAGTGGCTGTGGCCAGCTTGCAGTGCTGTGCTTTAACCCAATGTGCAGCCAGGGAGGGCCCAGCAACACTTATATTAGTGAAATGTGCACTGGAACAGTGTCTGGTACTTTTTTTTTTTAAGATTTATTTATGTATACAAAACTGGGGTACAGGCCAGAGGTACAGGGGCTGTGAAGGGATTCCAGAGACAGAGCGGGGAGCAGAACAGGCATACTGACACTGTACACTGCTGAGGGGAGCAGCAGGCGGGACAGGAGAGGTCTGCTGCGCCATGTGGTCACCTCCGGGGCAGGCGGGGAATCGAACCCATGCGGAAGTGGCTTAAGCTTCTCAGTGCTGTGCCTTAACCCGCTGCACCACAGGGAGGGCCGTGTCTGGTACTTTTTAAACTCAGTACTGGTGTAAACCTGAGTATGGACATTAGAAAAATAAGGCTCACAAGTCTGTCTTTTGAACATAGAGATGGCAATCAAAGTTAATGATGATTTCCTATGATCACTCAGGAAAATTAGGTGGAGTAAAAGCAGCTTTAAATTGTGTAGAGAAACTGCTTCAAAGAACAAAAGCCCTTGTCCAAAGATATCAGAAAAACTAGAGAAAAGTGGTGTCATGGACAAGGAAATTTTCAGCTAGGAAACTAATTAAAAAGACTATGTAATATAAGGAATATAAGAGAAGCCACTGATTGGCAGCTGGTGAGTTTAGTGAGACCAGTTTAGGAGAATCATTGAGATGAAAAGCAGAATGCAAGGTTAAAAAGTTAACTAGGATGAGAAAATTCGTGCAAATAACTGGAGGAAATAAGTCCTAGAAGTTGTGCCTCTATCTTCACTGGACTTATAAATGTGAAAGTTCACTGTAATGAACTTCACTTATTTTAAAGATTATTATTTTTATGTGTTTCCCATTAGATCCGCTCCATTTTCCTTCCTTCATGACTTACTGGATGTCTACCAAAACATGCCAGATACTGCAAAACAAAGACCCCTTTATTCCAAGTTTATGTCCCCTAATTTGCAGAATGAAATACGTTTGAACAAAGTTAAAAGGGCTTATTTGTATTTGAAGCAGCAATTTATAGCTTTGTAAAGAGTATTTAAAAAATAAAACAACACAATTTCTCATAACATACTGCTTTCATTAGTGTCTTGGTTCATGTATCACATAGTGAACATCCCTAGGAATGAATTATGATAGCAGATTATTGTCTCAAAGAACAGTTCCCTCAAATGTGGGCTAGATTAGTAAGGACTTATATGGGAGAGCAGTACAGAAAGGGTGAAGCTAACTGCTTTGCAGGGAGGATTTCAGAAACTAGGCAGAAGTTTCTAGAAGCTGCTTTCATGCCCCTTTTTTCTTCTAAATTTGGCCTTGACTGGATCTGTCCTGACACCAGTGGGATATTTTTTATTGTGGTAATGAGGCTGTGACATAATGCTTGTGTTACTGCTCACTTCATTTGCTCTCAACTGGTTTTGTCTGCAAAAAGGTAAACAGAAACAGAGCAAGGATGAACAGGGAAAGGGTTACTAGACCGGTGACAATATTATTCAATCAGAGTTGACCATTTACATTTATTTGCGTCTTGCTTTTATTACTATCTGAAATTGAGCTCACCCAGTTCCTCAAAAAATTTATAAATGAGTCCCAAGGTTTTGCAACTTGCCAAACCTTTTTATTCAAGGTTATGAAAGGTTATGTATCCTATCACTTTCTCAACCGTCCAACAGTCTCCAAGAAGTCACCATCAAAACAAGCAGAAAGGCCAGAAGCAACAGGAATGTGAGAGGTAGTGTTATTATGCTTCTCGAAGCAGACTCACCATAATTGCACCCATGCAGTAGTGACCCCTGAGTACACTATTGCTGAGTCCATTGGTCTGGCTCACTACAGCAGGCTTTTGCCTGTCATCTAAAGGGGATTCCAAAAGGCTACTGCCTGCTGATGCCCAGAACCTGTCAGGTGCCTTCCGCATAGGGCACTCACTGTGTGCACCAAGTACTCTACCAGTCAGCTTCTCTGAGAAGGCAACATGTTCTAAACCAGAGCTTCTTTTTAGAGTCACTTGTACTTTCAGATTACTGAATTTTTTCATCAGTTTTGGATTTGGGACTCTTGTCTTACCTTTTTTAAAAAAATTTTTTTTGAGTTTATCATGTCTTTTGTAGCAACATAGATGGAGCTGGAAAGGACCATGCTTAGTGAAATAAGCCAGAAAAAAAAGGAAAAATACCAGATGGTTTCACTCATAGCAGGAACATAAAGGACTGGGGGGGGGGGAATAATGATGAACAACCATATACCAGGGACATTTTATAGGGGTGGAGTGGGGAATGGGATAAAAAATGGGATGAAATGGGGAGTGCACTGGACTATGGTGATGGCACACGGGTGATTTGGTGATGGGGAGCCCATGGAGATTACAACAGAGATGGGAAAAGGCACAAAATGATGTAAAAATAAACTACTATATTAAAAAATTAAAAATTGAGTTTATTTCATTTTATTTTATTCAAAAAACCTAACTTGGCAATAGTTTTAGATTTACAGAAAATTTGTGAAGATAGTACAGTGAATTCCTACATATCACTCACCTAGCTTCCCCTACTGACCTAATATGGCTCCATTACCATGAACTGAATTTAAACTGGTTTAATTAGATTTTACCTAATTTTATTTTTATGTTCCATGTACAATCCTAAATATATAACATAGATAAAGAGATAGGTAGGTAATCTAGTCACCTTAGTCACCTCTGAGCTGAGACAGTTTCTCAGAATTTTCAGTTCTGGTGACCACAATTTTGAGGACTTACAAACCAGACATTTTGTTGAATTTTCCTCAGTTTGGATCTCTGTTATTTTTCTGTAGTTAGACAGGAATTGAAGATTTTTCAAAGACTAATGAAGTGGTCTGCTTAACATATTAAGGGTAAAGGCTATCAGCATGTTTATCTCTGTTGTTGACCTTCATCAGCTGCCTGAGGTAGTGTTTGTCAAGTTTCTCTACGGGAAAGTCACCTGCTATGCTGTGGCAAGTCTGGTGGGGGTAAGGCTTTTTTGGTTAGTAGTTATACAATTAGTTTAAATTCTTCAGATTTTTCACGAACCTTCATTTATCCAGCCACTTGTGTTCTAAATACTTATTTTTATTGAATATATCTGTATATTAGCCTCTTGAGTTTTAAAAAACATTCTTTGGTGACCTCCCAAATTATGGTCTTAATGTTGATATGTTATGGGATTTGACTCCCATAATTACATTCTGCTAATTCAACATAAGTAATTTATTTTCATTCTTTAATTTTTTGCAGCACTTCATATTTTGTACTTTTCTTTATACCTACTTCTATATGTCTTATATAGCTAACAATGTTTTGTTTTATATATATTTTACATCATTTTTCGTTTTTGTACAACAGTTCCCATGAAATTCCCGCCACCAATTCAGCCATGTTATCTAGCAATGTTTTATAGAGCTGAGATTTTCTTTGTAATAAGAAAATGTTGATTATTGTACAAAAATTATGGACAGTCTGTTTGCTTCCCAATTTCTATTTCCAGTATTGTTTTGTTGCTTTTGGTAGTTAAAACTTGAAAAAATAGGATTTAAACTCCCTAACTTCAAAGAAGTATGACAGATGTGAGCATGTCACATTCCTGCCTGAGCCTGACACTAGTGTGTCTCCAGGACACATAGCATCTTCTTTTTAATATATACTTTATCCTACATAAAAAAAAATCCTCTATTCTTTTCCACGCGTATCTGTTACCAGGCAGCTATCAAATATCCACATATGCCCTTCTAAGTTTTTTTTTTTTTTATTCATACAGAACTGGGGTACAGGCCAGAGATGCGGAGGGTGAGAGGGTTCACCAGATACAGAGTGGGGAGCAGAACAGGCAGATCGACGAAGTACACTGCTGAGGGGAGCAGTGGGCGGGTCAGGAGAGGTCTGCCGCGCCATGTGGTCACCTCCGGGGCAGGCGGGAATCGAACTCATGCGGAAGCGGCTTTAGATTCTCAGTGCTGTGCTTTAACCCGCTGCGCCACCAGGGAGGGCCCCTTCTAAATTTTTAACATTAATTTACTTCCTAACTTTTGGTTTACTAACATTCAGCATCTCAGTATTTCATGATACTGAACCATACTAGCTTGTTTGAAATTCCTTTCTAAAGGGTATTTTGAGAAAATAATGCAGCCTTGCTGGGTTCAATGATATCCTCTAGCACTGCCACTTCAGTTAAACTGAAAGTTGATTGCCAATCTCGTTCTTATCTACTCCCACAGCACTCCTGATAGCTTAAAAACAGGTTCCTTACTCGCACTCGCTCAGGACCTACGTGGTTGTTACCCCGTAGCCACTGAACTTGGTTCCTGCTCCCAAAGACTCTGGTAAGGTGTCGACTAAACTACTTGCGGCCAAGAGCTTCCGAGGACGGCTGCTCTACCCATCCAGGTGCTGAATCCGATCCAACCCATAGGGCTTCAGCACCCATGCGCTTTGTCTTGTTTTTCCAGCCATAATGGTACCTAGAGGACAGCTTCAGGGAACCCTACTAACTAGATGACTACTAAAGCCCTGTAACTTTATACTTAGGTTCATGTAGCTGTACCGTTTCTGTCTAGTTGTGAAGTTGTGGGTTTTCAGTTTGTGCACAGCCTTTACCGATAACTTGAGTGGCTCTGAAAAGAGCCTTTGGTTTCTTTCCTCTTCAGATGTTCAGGCCACTTTTTGGGATTCACCACGTGAAGCGCTTACTTCCTCTGGACTTTGTGATGATGGCTCTCAGTCTTCTTGGGCAGCAGCACTGCCTGGATGTTGGGTAGGACGCCGCTTTGTGGGAGGGTCACACCACCTAATAGTTTGTTGAGCTCCTCGTCGTTGCGAATGGCCAGCTGCAGGTGGCGCGGGATCACGCGCATCTTCTTGTCTCGGTATGCGTTACCTGCCAACTCAAGGATCTCTGCCGTCAGGTACTCTAGCACCGCGGCCAGGTACACTGGGGTACCGGCCCCAATGCGCTCAGCATAATTGCCCTTGCGTAGCAGACGATGAATTCTACCCACTGGGAACTGTAAGCCTGCTCTAGATGAGCGAGATTTTGCTTTAGCATGGGCCTTGGCTCCCTGCTTCCCTCGGCCAGACATTTTGACAGCCAATCTTCAGCTAAAGAGAAGAGTGACCGTTAGAGAGGTTAGAGAGATTAGAGAGGACGATGGAACTCTTTATGTACTAATACGGGTGGTGATTTGCTCTCTGATTGGCTGATACCTTCTAGCCAATCAGAATGTCTTGTTGAAAGACCCTCATTTGCATTCATGCCAACCCCACTATCCAATCAGTTGTTGGCTGCCCAGTACGTCATAAGAGGCTGTGCCTATAAATACGACTCTTCTCACCCTCAAGTACCTGTCGCTAGCTAGGTAGTGACGGGAGCGGAAGAAGCTGTAACTGGAGAGTGGTAACGCTGTGCACTCACCATGCCGGAGCTGACGTCCAAGGGCGCCACTATTTCCAAGAAGGGCTTCAAGAAAGCTGTAACCAAGACCCAGAAGAAGGAAGGCAAGAAACGCAAAAGATGCCGGAAAGAGAGCTACTCAATTTATATTTATAAGGTGCTAAAGCAGGTGCACCCCGACACGGGCATCTCGTCCAAGGCCATGAGTATCATGAACTCCTTCGTCACCGACATCTTCGAGCGCATCGCGGGCGAGGCGTCCCGCCTGGCGCACTACAACAAACGTTCGACCATCACTTCCAGAGAGATCCAGACGGCCGTGCGCCTGCTGCTGCCCGGCGAGCTGGCCAAGCACGCCGTGTCCGAGGGCACCAAGGCCGTCACCAAGTACACCAGCTCCAAGTAAACCGCCAAGTATAAGCATTCTTCTAACCCAAAGGCTCTTTTAAGAGCCACCCACATCTTCTGAAAAAGAGCTGTGACACGGTTCCATCTGAGGCAGAGGCCTTTTGCAGCCATACCTAAAGTGGCTTTCCTAAGGCTGGTGGAAGTCAAAACACATGGTTAGTGGGATACTGTCCATTCAGGTAGATTAACTGCCCCACTGCTCCTAAGCTTAAGGCTAAATTTCTATAGATTGAGGGACCCTAGGGGACCACACGGCAGGAGCAATCTTTCCAAGGGGCGCCACTAAAGATGTTTCTGTGGCACGTGTCTTGATGCCACTACACCAATAGTGTCCAAATAGGTGTGGAGACAAGGTCACCGTCTCTTTAGGTCCTATCAGAAAACTGCGTGGTGAGAAACTCTGGGGACTTAAAAGTGGTTTAGGGACATTAAGACTTGTCCACTCACAGGGCTGTTTGTAGATGAGGATAGTAGCCTCCAGTGGCAGGGATTTGAGGCACAAAGAGCAGGGCTTTCTTGGTCAGATGCCTTCTGCATTTGAGGCTTCTAGGCTGTGCTGAGACTCACACTGGAATGTGAAAATACTAACTTTGGTCATTCATACTGGAACCCAACCTCCCGGCTAATGACCGTTGGTAAGCTGTATCTAACTGAAACTTGTTTATATTAAAAGTGGGTGAAAATCTACACAGTTCCTAAGAAAATGAAGATTGGTATTTATAGGCCGGATGTAGTGTGTCTATGTAAATGAGGTGGCGCGGTAAGGCTCCCTGATTGGATACAAAGGTATCAGCCAATCCGTTTCTCATTGACTATAAGTCCCGCTGTGCGGAAGGGTAGTTTTTTCTGTTGTAACGGTTCTCTGTCCGTTAGAGGGAAGCAGGGCCATAAGACTCGCGCCAAGACCTCAAGACACGCTCCCCGCGGGCCAGGCAGCAGTTCTCCGTGGGCCCGTGCACTGCCTGCACCTTGTGCTGGGCAAGGTGACGATCGCGCAGGGCGGCGTCCTGCCCAACATCCAGGCCGTGCTGCTGCCCAGATGGAGCGTCACCACCACAAAGCCAGAGCAACCTCGCAAGATGTAAAATCCAGCGAGTGACCTGAAAGTCTGGTCACTCAAGCCCAGACTGAACTGGATTCAGCACCCCCCCCTGCCCCCAAACTGAAACCAAAGGCTCTTTTTAGAGCCAGTCGCCATTTCTGAGAAAGAGCCTAGGTTTGTAACAACTTCCCAAAGAACAGTAGTTGATGCCATCAGTGACAAATGAGAATTGGCCCCGACTTTTAGTGTTTTCATAAACGGGACTCTGAAAGAATATCTAGTTTGGGTGACTCAGGTCCCTAAAGTAGTATAATGTATACTTTTGAAAAAGTAACTCAAGATCTTGGGGTGGAACTATAGTAAAACAAAACATCTAATTTCAAATAGACAAAGCGTTTCTTATTAGGATCCTAGCAAAGGAAATGCCACTCTGCCTTTGAAAAAAAGCACAAATTTAGGGCTGTTGTGAGAATTTACACAATTCCTATGAAAATGAAGATCTGGAGTGAAGGAAAGCAGTTTGGCTTAGCAGTTTAGCTTGGTTAGCAATTCTGGGCCTCAGGCTGATAAGGAAGTGCCCTCAACCTTGACTAGGGTCTGGCTGTCTCCATCCCCGCACAGACCCAAAAACCCCAGCTTATAGGTTCTTTTGTAAATATTTTTGATACTTCCCACCCGCCTAGCCAATGGGCGCAGGCCACGGTAGCCCCTTTGTTACAGTAATCTCCTTTTCATGTATATAAGCTTGATGCTGAAAATAAAGACATGGACTTTTCCTGGTGAACAGACTCACGGTGTCCATCCTTTTTCCTTTCATGGAGTCCTTGTGTAAGGTTTGTATTTTAATGAAAGTAGAGTGACTAAGTGAGTAGGTTTGAGATTAAGTAGCTGAAAGAGGCTGTAAACTTGCAGTTTTTGACTCAGGTCTTTAAGTCAGGTCTGGCTGGATTTGCATGAAGGATGCATGTTTTCTCAAATGCCCTCTAACAAGGGAGTTCCTACCAAGAAGTGCTAGTAGCTTGGTTCCATTGCCTAAAATCGGTAACCAGGACATGTTAATAAGCCAAAAAACAAAATGTATATACAATACTTGATTTATGTGAACTAATGAAGAACAATAGAGCTACTTCTTAGTATGTAGTATACATAATAAGTCTAACATTTTAATGGGTAAGATGCCAATATCAGAATTAAAGTAATGTAATAAGGCAGCTTTCATAATTATTCAGAAATATTAGGCACTGAATTGTTCAAGAGGTGTAACTACTAAAGTGAAGCAAAGTTTTTTTGAACTTTATTCTTAATGTGAACAACGCAAAAAAAGTATACATTACTTAAATTCAATTTAGAAAGTCTTTCCTTGAGACTCACAACCCCCTTTAGAAAATCAAGAACACAGCTTTCCTTTTTTTTTTTTTAAGATTTATTTATTTATTCATATAGAACTGGGGTACAGGCCAGAGATGCGGAGGGTGAGAGGATTCACCAGAGACAGAGTGGGGAGCAGAACAGGCAGATCGACGAAGTACACTGCTGAGGGGAGCAGCCGGCGGGTCAGGAGAGGTCTGCCACGCCATGTGGATCTCCTCCGAGGCAGGTGGGGATGGAACTCATGTGGAAGTGGCTTAAACTTCTTACTGTAGTGCTTTAACTCACTGCGCCACCAAGGAGGGCCCCAGGATACCAAATTGATTTTAAGGTGGAATAGAACAGTACAGTTTGGAAAATGCTGGGGCAGTTAGCAAAAGAGAATTGTTGCTGCCCCCTCCTGCAGGTCTATAGTTAATATCCTTGCCCTCCTGGAAAGGTGGAAAAGCTTGCTGAGCTGAGCCAGTGAAGGAACTTGCTGGGATTTTCAGCTTTTCCCCTTAAACACGCCCTTCCATTTATGAGGATGGAAACTAGATAGTGGAGCTCCTGAGGGCACATCTCTTGAATCTTTTCAGAAAAGATTGAGAAGAAAGGTTAAATGAAAAAAAAAAAACCAAACAAACAGAATTTGGAAGTGGGGGGGAGGGAAAAAACAACAGAATTTGGACATGTGGAGTGGGGAAGGAGGGAGTGACAGTGTGTGCAGTCTTGGCAGCTGTCCTTGTTCCAGAAGCTCCTGTTGTGAGAGTGGTCCCAGTGTACACAACATTGACTTCTGCCCCTACTGTTGTGTTTCTGTTTTTAAAAATGCTCTTTCATGCTTTTTAAAATTAATAATGAAAAGTCTGGAAACAAAGTACATTAAAGTCTGGAAACAAAGTACATTAATTTAAAAAATGCTCTTCAAGTAGACATCTATCACTTTCATAAGACTGATATTCCAAGCCAAAACTGACTCAGCACAATGAAAATGCCAGTCCCACCTGCAAGCTTAAAAGACAGATATATGGCTTGTCCCCTTGATGCTGCCTCTTTTTTATGTCTATAGCCACAGTACAGATGTTTGCTCTAAACCTTACCTTTCTGTGAAAGACAAGTGAAAATCAGAGAAAGAAGAACTTGATGAAATTCAAAAGACTTAAGGCTAATGGCAGGATGAGGACAACCAAAAGCTCTCCTCATAAACGAGCAGTCAGTCCTTGGTGGCGCAAAGGGTTGAAGGGCAACACTAGGAAGCTCTCAGGAGCCACTGCAACAAGCGTTTAATCCCTGGCCAGGGCACAGCAGACCTCCCCTCTCCTGTCTGGCCCACTGCTGCCCTTAGCAATCTACTAAAGTCGATCTACCTGCTCTGTTCCCAACTCTGTCTCTGGTGAATCCTCTTATCCTCCTCATCTCTGGCCTGTACCCCAGCTCTTGGATGCATAAATAAATTTTTTTTTTTAAAGGGAGCAGTAGGTATTAAAGTGATCAGGTTTCTTTTTGCCCTCTCGCCACTACCATCAATGGCACCTGTGGTCTTGCACGTGCCTGATGGCGGCACCTGGAGCTGTGTGCGCATGCGTAGGTGGGCACACCTGGGCTATGAGAGGGCATATAAGGGCCGTGTCTTGCGGATACCCGCAGCAGCTGAGAGCAGAGAAGTGGAGACAGCAGAGACCACAGAGACAATGCCAGTCAGCCCTGAAAGTGAAGATTCACCAAAGGCTGGGAGGCCTGCCAGCAGCCTGCCCACCCAACCCACATCCCCCACCAGGTACTTGTTTGCCGCACTACAAATGGCGTAAAAAGCTCAGTAAAAGCCTGAGAAAGCCGCTGAGGGCTCCGGGACTGTCCTTCGCCCACCTGCGAGGATCCTAGAGAAACTGCTCTGAGCTTTGCTGGCGCTACAGAGGTCAAAGACAAAGTAAGGAAACTTCTCTTACTTTTGTCCCCCAGCTAAGATTAGACGTGTGAGGTGGTTGAAGTAAGACACGGTAAATTGGAAAGTTGAAGGCAAGCTCTCTGGTAGATGGGGGATGGGAGGAACACACCCTATACACAGGCTCAAGGGCTGCAACCCTGAGTCCATTTTTTAAGTGAGGTTCTATCTTAACTGAAGTGCGTTGGTTTACATCCCTGGGAGTGTTCTGGAAGCATAGGCTGCCCCCTCAGCTGTAGTCACTGCTACGTACCCACCACCAAAGCACCCGTAGCCCCTCCCCATCACAGTCCTCTGTGTTCTCTTCCGATCCTGTTCACACCTGTCACTCCTTTCCCTCAGTTCCATGATCTACTTTCAAGGCTGAGTTGTACAGTTTGTCTTTGTGTGACCCTTTGTTTGATTTCTCTCTGTTCCATATAAGTGACTCCATCTGTTATTTATCGGACTCCTCCTCACTTATTTTGTTTAGCATAATCCCTTCCAGCACCATCCATGGGGCCATAAATGGCAAGTAAGGTTTTTTTTTTTTTTAAGATTTATTTATTTATTCGTACAGAACTGGGGTACAGGCCAGAGATACGGTGGGTGAGAGGGCTCACCAGAGACAGTGGGGTGTAGAACAGGCAGATCGACAAAGTACACTGCTGAGGGGAGCAGCGGG